GAATCCGTCATCCTGTTCTGCAGGCTCCAGTCCTTCCCGCCATCACTTTGCACCCCAGACACAGAAAGTCAACGCGGGTCCCCTAGGACAATAACCAAGGGGAGAGAGGAAGAGGGAAGGAGGGAGGGGGAGGGAGGGGGAAGGAGGGGGAGAGAGGGAGGGAGGGAGGGGGAGGGAGGGGGAGGGAGGGAGAAGGAGGGAGGGAGAGAGAGGGACAGGGAGAGAGAGAGACAGTCAGAGAAAGAAAGAGGGAGACAAAGAGAGAGAAAGAGAAAGACAGAGAGACAGACAGAGAGAGAGACAGAGAGAGAGAGAGGGAGGAAGGGAGAGAGAGACAGAAAGCAAAAGAGAAATATATAGAGACACAGAGAGGGATAGAGAGAGAGAGAAATAGAGAGACAAACAGAGAGAGACAGAAAGAGAGAAAAAGAAAGAGAGAGAGAGACAGGGAGGCAGAAAGACAGAGACAGAGAGAGAAACAGCTTTCACAGAGAGAAAGAGAGACAGAGAGAGGGAAAGAAAGAGAGAGACAGGGAGAGAGAGAGGGAGAGGGACAGAGGAACTTGTCTTTAAACTTCAGGTTTAATCTGAAAGGGTTTCTTACAAGGCTCCTTTGGGTGGGAGGGCTTATGAAACATTAAGACGCTTCTGTAGTTTCTTACAAGTGTCACCTGTGTGATCGCTGGGTCCCCGGCCCAGAGGACAGGGGACAGAGGGCAGGAGCAGCTTCTGGGCTCTGGCACAAAGGGGAACAAAGGGGAGGCTGTGACCGCCCATGGATCATGGCGTTGGCACCTGTGGATCTGTCCCCAGATCCCCTCCAATTTCATCCCCCTGATTCAGCCCCAGAAAACCAACCCTGACAGCTCGGGCTACACTATGCTGTCCGGCAGCCAGGCCCCGCTAATTGCATGGGGACTTCCGGTGAGCCATGTTTCAGATCCAGCCCTTCCGACTCTGACAACCCTACTTTTATGCTTTAGCACTCGTGGATCACTGAGGCATTAATTGGGGGTTTTTTTGCCTCCAGGATTCCAGCAAGAAGTGTGCCCTCTGAATAGCAATCTCTACCAAGCTGAGGCAAAGGCTTCAAGAAAAAATGATAACTGAAAAAACAACAACAATAAAAACCCTGTTGGGAAGCAAACAAAGGCTCCAGGGCTGGCGTCCTGCGGAAAGGCCACTCCTGCGGTGTCCAGTTTCAGGCTGGGCACCGAGATCCCAGGTTCAGCCATGGAGGGCTCATCCAGATGTCTTTGGTCAAGTTAATCGCGGTTTGCTGAGGCTGAGTTTTCAGGTAATCCATCATGGCGTGATTGTAAATCAAGACTTCTTCTGGCTGAAAGTCCAGAGCGTCTCTCTCAGCCCGAGACCAAGGACGGTCAACACAAGGGCCCTCGGCCTCTATTTTGTTAGTTTTGAAAAATTAAACAGCTTTCACAAATGCTGAAGAAAGACCTAGAAGACACCGGTCTGGCAGACTTTTGAATTTAGTCAAGCAAGAACACACAGAAGAGGTTCTTCTGGTTGACAGGATGCAGTGAAACCCGTCCTCCTGGTGGGCTGGAGGTTTCTGTCCTCAATGGTGACGCCATGTCAAGTGTGTCCTTGGCCAAGCTTCCAAGATGGAGTAAGTACGAAATGCAATGCTCTTACCTCTGGGGGCAGAAAATTAAGTCCTGGATTTCTTGGTTCAGGTCCTAGAAACTTTCTTTAATCTATATTGTTTTCTACCCCCAGCCTGAAGTTAATCTTTTCTCTGATTCGAGGTTAGAAACACCTAGTACTGAAGAAATAACCTCCAGTCTACACAGGAGAGACCCCACACAGGAGGGTCCCTGGTCCCTGATGCTGCACATGTCACCTTGGTGAAATCTGGTAAAATCCATTTGAGATTTGGACGCACTACTCATATCATTTGGTCACTTCCCCACGAGTCCCGGGGCTCAGGTACTAAGAGTGTCCCCCGCATGCAACAGGAAAGTGTGACATGCTCGAGCCTGGCTGTCTGTAGGATGCACGCACACCATGGAAACCTCCATGTGTGGGTCGGTTATATGGCTGTCTCTTGCTGTGTTCATTTTTCCCACAATCTACTCTGACTGCCTTGCATGGCACATGGACTGGAAGCAATACTGAGGGTGATGACACCGGCCATCCCACCCCAACTTGGGGGATTCCCAAGGGCGTCTCTTGCAGAATGACCAGGGATGAAAATGAGAACCTGCTTCTCCTTCCAGGCCATGTTGTCCCAGGGGTAGCTCTAGATATGCCTGAAAGAGACTCAAAGTCTATGTTCTTTGAGGTCACAAGAAGATGTCACCGTCTGCCCAGAAGGAAATAGCACCTGTATGATCAAAGTCATGGCAGCTTTCAGGCTGAGTTTCCCACACTGTGAGACCCAAAGGCACTTTATTTTTCCTGCATTTTATCCAGGAATATTTGCAAACGACAGAACTCCAGTTAGACTTCAAGGTCAGTTTTCAATCCAACTTTGGCACTCACTTCTTCATGCTTTCATGTATTTTTTCCGACATTTTATTGGCATCCTTCTCCCTTCAGTCTCTTCCCCAGAGAAAGAATCATCTCTTCCCTACCTTGCTTCCTCTGCACCACTCACCTCCATCTTTGGGGTGGGGGAGGATTTGCTGCTGGTCACCTTGGAGGAAAAACTAAGGAAGGGGGACGCACTTCGTCCTTGCCCTCCTGCCTCTGGTCTCGCCAGGCAGCCACCACAAGGGTTAGATTCGATGCACAAGATGTCACCTGTATGCACAGCACAACAGAGCTACCTTTTCTGCAAGTGACCGTTCTGGTGGCTGCTGTCTCTCGCATGTTCTCATCTCTCCCAGTCTCCTTTGTAAACTGCTTTCCTGTGTAGTTGGGGCCAGGTGACTCCGAGAGGCCATACTTAGGGTCTTTCAAAAGAATTCACGCACAAGATGGGCCATCAACTGGCTCGCCACTGGGAGTATGGATAGTCCCAAGCACCTCTCGTGTGTGGGAAAACTGTCCAAATATTCCAGTCTGAAACCAATTCTGAGGATGTAGACAGGCAAAATCCAGTGTCAGTTTCTACTGATCTCACTCAGCCACCCACTCGGAAGAGCCTGTGACCTCAGGGACACCAGGCAAGTGGTCCCTCAGCCACAGTATCCTCTAATTCTGCCTCTGTCTGTCTGCAGGTAGCGTCAGACCCCAGGGGCAAAGGGCTCAGTTTCCCCACTCCACACATCAGCAACGAGCCTAGGTCTTGGGAGCTAGATCAGGACTACCGTGCTCCAGAACTCAGATTCAATTATGGAACATACAGGGTTTAGGACAAGAGACACAAAGGGTAAGCCATGTGGGGAGGCACACATCAGCTCTCTGTCACCCTCCAAGAGCCTCCACGTGCTCAGCAATCTGGAAGCTCCCTGACCCCAGTCTTTTTTGGGGTTCTTACAGAGATTGTGTTGCAAAGCTATGGTCAGTTGAATCACTGGCCATTGGTGATCAATTCAACTGTTAGTCCCTTTCCCCTCCCTGGAGGTTAGGGGTTGAGCTGACGGTCCCAACCCTGTTACCATGACTTGATCTTTTCTGGGCCAACCCTCGTGTTCTGAAGCTACCCCCAACTTTCAGCCACCAGTCAACTCCTCAGCACACAACTGATGCCACCTTGAGTATCCCAAGGCTTCTAGGAGACCAATGCCAGGAGGCAGAGTGAAAATCAATCATATATATGAATTAGAAGAAGCAGGGCCTTTCCCTGAACTGTAAAGGAATTTCCCTGAAATAACCACTTCTCACTCAGGCCCCATGTCCTCGTACGTTCTTTAGATGGTTTGTATGATTTGGTCAATGGTGAAGTAGGGGGTGAGGAGGTCCTCACTTTTGTGCAAAGTGCAGGACAGCCCTATTGGCGATGGCGAGAGTTTAGTTTTCTGACCATAGGCAAGGAAGACCCAATGCATTTGCTTTTGTGAGATGGTGTGTGATGAGTGTGGACACAAGTGGAAGTTTCCAGCACAGTTGCTTGGGGAGTCACTGTAGGACCGGCTGTGCCAATGGGAGTCACCTGCCCTCAGCATGCCGTTCTTCTGATGCCTTCCCTAGGTCATCTTGAAGTCACCTAATGGGTCTTCTTATCCTTTTGTTTTCTGTCCCTTTGCCTGGCACTCTAAATTCGAAAGGCCAGCTGTGTCTAAGTGATTAAGCTGTGAAGTGCTACGCCACACAAAAAAAGCAGCGAGAGAACCATCAGTTGTAAGACCCACCGCAGAAATTTTTACAGAATTCAGAACAGCTGATGAGCGTTACTTGCATCAAAGACCGGATCAGAGCTTCCTCTGCATCCCGCCATGCATCCTGAAGAAGAACAAGTCCTTAAATGTCCCATGTCAGCTCTTTGCTTGGGACGGTCAGCTCACCTGGTCCTCAGGGCCATGGCCAATGGCTGACTCTCTTGCTGGGTGACTAACTGGCTTCCAGCAGGCGATGGTGACGTCCTCAGAACACTTTCACAGCCTTAGTAACGGAGGGGCCATGTTTCCGATGGGCAAATTTCCAATGGTAGCAGGACAAATGTCCTTCCTTCACATTGGCTCCTGTCCATATTTGGAGTTTCTCCCATTGAGACTCCCAGCTCAGAGGGAAAACAAGGAAGTAGGTAAATTAATGAGTGTCTCCTGTCGTTGTTTTATACGGTGTGTCATTCTTGTTCCCTTCTTGGCTGTGCGCAAAACAATGGTTACCTTTTCTTAAGGAAACCACTCAAGAAACCAGGAATAGAAGGGAACTCCTTTAACATAAGTAAGGCCTCCTGACAAAAATCCACAGCTAACATTATACCTAATGTTTTCTTCTTAAAATGAAGAACCAGACAAGGATGGCTTCTCTTGACACTTGTATTGCAACAAGATCTATACGGAGTTTTTAGACAATAGCAAGTAAATTGTGTGTATTGGAATAGAACAGATAAAAGTATCCATAGTCTGAAATGACAATAATACTTTTTTTGGCGGCACTGGGATTTGAACTCAGGGCCTCATGCTCACCAGGCAGGCGCTCTACCACTTAAGCCATGCCTCCAGCCCAATAATTATCTTACATGGAGAAAATCCCAAGATGTCCACTGAAAATTATTAGAATAAATGAAATCTGCAAGGTTGATAATGAGCTCAATCTGCAAAGTCAGTTGCATTTCTACACATGAATCATCCAAAAATGACATTACGAAAACAATTCCATTTCTATTATCATCCAAAAAAAAAACCCCGACCCTAGGAATAAATTTAACCAAAGGCATGAAAACTCGTGCAGTGGACATCGCGAAACATAATTGAAAGAATGCAAAGACACTTCCCGTTCACAGACTAGAAGATGGATTACTATCAAGGTGGCAACACTTCTCACAAAATCCCAGCCAGCTTTCCTTTGTGTGGAAGTCGACAAGCCTATCCTAAAACGAATATGGGAATTACCTGGAGTTAGCCAAACTCAAGGTTTGTTTGAGATTGTTCTAACTTCAGGCGCCAACTACCAGGTCAGAGTCCCCAAAGCTGCCACCACCACTTCTGACCAGTGGGCTACAAATTCAGGGGTTTCTCACAGCTGTCTTCAGAATGACACCGAACTCAGGAAAGCACTGTACTGGTGACAAGAGTTTCAATATGGCAAAAGAAGAGAGATTTCCAAAATACAGCCAGCCACAGCAGGTCTGGAGGATTCCAGATGTGTGGCTACCATCTTGGTCAGGGTGACCTCCTCACCCACCAAAGTGTGCCTGTTCTAAAAATGTCCTGCCAGCCATGGAAGCCAGCCTGGGCATCAGTGTCCTGTGTTTTTGCTGAGGCATCTTTATATACTTTACATATAGTTGATTGAAACTTTGGCCACACGGTTGATCTCAATCTTGGGTCCCCAGGACCAGGATCAAAGCCCCAGTCCTTTAACCAGAAGGATGGGCTCACCGCCCCCATTCTGAGATTCTGAGTTGTGACCTTCACACGAGCTATCTGAAGGTCATCGTGAGCCTGCCTGTTAGCACAAACTACGGACCCACCAGGAACAATGAAGACGCTCCTAGAGCTTGAGGGATTTGGGTGGCTCAGATCTTCCCAACCAGGACCTGAGAAACCAGACAGCCAGATTTCGTATCATAGGGAAATGCAAAAGGCCCAAAGCAACGTTGAAAAAGAAGAACAAAGTTGGGAGACACGCAATCAGCGATTTTGAAACTTACTTTCAAGCTATGGTAACACATGCTGATAGCGTCATAAGCACAGACAAACACCAATGGAATAAAATTAAGAATCCTGCAAATAATTTACATTGATGGCCAATGGGTTTTCGGCCAGGGTGTCAGGACAACTGATGGAGCAAAAATGGTCTCACGCTAAGTGAAAGAAGCCAGACGCAAAAGGTCACATCGTACGATTCTGTTCATAAGAAATGCCAAGAAATTAAAGATGGAAATTAGGTTTGTGCCCAGAGGTGGTGGGGAGAAGGCTTGGCGAGCAATGTGACAAGGCATGTGGTTTCTTTGAGGGGTGATAAACGTGTCCTACAGACTGTGGGACATTGGAGATGACAGCACAAATCAGTGACCATTAAAATGGCGTGCACTAATTTTGTCTCGACCATGCTGATATCAAAGACAATTGCTTGAGATAATCTTATGTCTTGATTTAGAAGATCAACACTTAAATTCTTTTTTTATTAGTATTTTTATGGGCTTTTTTTAGTAATTTTGGGTAGCATATATTAAATTGTACCTAGTAAGAGTTTTCACTGTGATATTTCCATACATGCATTTATGTGGTTTGGTCATATCCACCCCCTCTATTTCTCTTTCTTATTCCTCATCCCCTCTTTTCCCTTCCCCTGGCACCTCCCTGGTCCCCCTGCACCTTCATGACCTTGGTTGTTTGGTGTTGTCCCCCCCCCATCTTCCATCAGTGACAGAATGTGTGACATCTGACCTTGGGAGACTGGGTTTTTCTCTTAGCATGACGATCTCTGGTTTCATCCATTTTCCTGCAAACGAGGTGTTTCCTTCTCTTTAGTGACTGGGTAAACTGCATTGTGGATAAGTGCCACATTTGCTCCATCCACTCTTCCTCTGGGGGGCATCTGGACTGACTCCATCTTTTGGCTGTCGTGAATAGCTACACAACAAACATGGCACATCCGTATCGCTATAGGACACCGACTTTGATTCTCTTGGGTGTATAACCAAGAGAATAAGAAAGTCATATTTTAGATTTTTTAAGGAGCCTCCATAACAAGCCCCATGGTGGTTATCCCAATTTATATTCCCACCAACAGTGTGTGAGACTTCCTTCTCCCCCACACCTTCACCAACATTTGTTGTTATTTGTTTTCTTCACAATGGGCATTCTGGCTGGAGTGACATGGAATCTCAATGCAATTTTGCCTTCTGTGCTTCCATATGAAGTTTAGGATTGTTTTCTATTACTATGAAGGGTATCAGTGGAATTCTGATGGGGATAGCATTGAATTTGTATAGAACTTTTGGTACTATGGCCATTTTCGCAGTGTTGATCCTGCCAATCCATGAACATGGGAGATCTTTTCATCTTCTGGTGTCTTCTTCCATTTCTTTCTTCAGTGGTTTAGTTTTCATTGCACAGGTCTTTCACCTCCTTGGATAGGTTTATTCCTAAGTAGTTAATTTTTTGTGAAAGTTTTATTTTTCTGGTTTCGTTTGTTTGTTCGGTGGTACTAGGGTTTGAACTCAGGGCCTCATGCTTGCTACAAGAGCACCCTACCACTTCAGCCACACTCCCGGCAGTATTTAAATCTTTTGAGGTTGTTGTGAATGGGATTGCTTTCCTGATTTCTTTCTCAGAAAATCCACTGGTGGTGTACAGGAAAGCTACCGACTTTCGTATGTCAACTTTAAATCCTGCCTCTTTGCTGAAAGTGTGTATCGGATGTAAGAGTCTTTTAGTGAGTCATTAGGGTCTTTTAAGCATAGGATCATATCACTTTCAAACAGGGATCGTTTGACTTCTCCCTTTCCTATTTGAATCCCTTTATTTCTTTCTCTTGCCTTATTGCTCTGGCTAAGAACTCAAGCACTGTACTGAACAAGAGCGATGACAGGGTACACACTTGTCTCATTCCAGATTTCAGAGGACCCGCTTTTTTGTTTTCCCCACTTAGCACAACTCCACACTTACCCCCATCTAACGGTTGTTGCATAGCCGTTGACCAGTCTTTCACCCATCACACCTTCCCCCTTCCCTTCCCGGCCTTTGGTGGCCATGATTCCACTCCAAACTTCTGTGAAACCAACTTTTTTTTGGATCCCACCAATGAGTGAGATGAATGGTACATGTACACACAGACTACCCTCCGGTCATAAACAGAATGAAATCCCATCGTAGGCAGCAACATGGATGCACTTTCAGGACAGTATGCTAAGTGAAAAAAGCCAGGTGTAGAAAGACTTCCATCTTCCTATATACCCATTGTCACTTCTGATCACGACAGACAGCTCAACCACTTCTTGGAGGAAGCCATGCTGATGTACTGATCCTGCCCTCGTCCCCAGGGACGGGGTGAGTTCAAGTGCTGTCCCTTCAGTCTACCATAGCGACACGGCGTAAGGACATACCCCATGTTTTGGGAGCCAGACACAAGAATTATAGGGGTGAAATGATGCCAGGGTCACATGGACTCCTCTCTGTTTTCTGCAGGGACGTTTATGGGAGAAGCCCAGAGAGTCGGGGCACAGCTTCTGCCCCAGTGTCACCTGTTGGACTCCCAGTCCAGCTTCTGTCCGTGATATCAAACCTGACACCATAAATCTCGGGGCCTCCTGCCAGCTCACTGGAACTAAACCACCATTCTAAAGCATTGACTTGTTTAACTGCATTTTATTTCCCAAACTTTGTAGGAAACAACGTGCAAGTGGGTGTTGATTTTCTCGAGGAAACATTGAGGAAAGCCATGCTGGGTGAGCACCAGAAGAAGTGGCCTTGCAGGGGTGAGGAACCAACGTTCCCGGCCATCGAGACAAGCTGGGTGAACGTGGGTTGAGGCAGGGAGCGACCTGGAACACCTTGAAGGCCTGCGAGTTTGGGATTTTAGAGATTTTGGTCCTACCATGGACACCTACGTCCAAATATCTTGGTTTTCTTATCCATGATACTCAACAGAAAAATTTAAAAAGAAGCAATGTCTGGCAGGGTGCTAGGCAATGAGCTGTGGTCGGACTTCCCGTGCTCCTGGATGAAGCTTCTGCTTGCAAAATGGAGCTAGGGTCCCTCAAGGTGAAGAAGGAGCATTTTTTGATGCTGGATTTTGGTGCAATACGGCACTTTTAAAAATCGCCAGGTCATGGGGGAAAGCCCTGACTGTTGTCTCACGAAGATCTCGTGGCGTTCTGCTTCTTTTTCGAATAAAGGACTGTCAGGCAACATGCCATTCTGTCATCTATTTGTGCAAAACTTGAGCAAAAAACTTGCTTTAAAAAAACAAAAGCAAGTGCAGAATCACACAGTCTTCTCCAAAGTAACTTGTCAAGGCCAGCGTGAGCAAAACTGGATGAGACAGAGAAGTCGTGCAGGACAGTCTGGACCGCGTCCTCTGTGGAAAACTAAGCCTCGCTCAGAGGAGAGACCCGGTCTTAATAAATCTGCGATGAGCATTTGGACAAAATCAGAATGAACAAGAGGCTCTGATCTGCTGCCCTGGACTTCGGTTTCCTCTTTGAACTCTGGCCCTGTGTTCTCAGGGATTTTCTCGGTAAGCCCGTGAACTCTGGAGTGTGGGGTGTGTAGACGAAGGACCTCAAAAAACACCACCTGAATTCCTTCTCTGGGGTCACCAGGCCTGTCTGCAGGCATCCCAGCTCCAACTCACTCATTTCCAGATCATCCCAGACACAGTAAACTCCAGAAAAATAAGGGGGGAAAGGATGGAAAGGGGCGTGTGGAGGGCAAGAATCAGAATTCAAGCACACCGTGGTGTTGGAGGGCAAAAAACCCTTCTTTCCGACTTCAGAAAGAATGAAAAAAGTCAGTCAAAACAAACAAGGAAACACGCAAGCAAGCAAACAA